AGCCGCTCAAATGAAATAAAATTAAAAGTTGAGTTCTTCAGTCCTACTAGCCATATTTCAAGTGCTCCATAACCATATGAAGCTAGTGGCCGCCACATTGGACAACACAGAATATTTCCACTATCACAGGATATTCTGGTATAGAATATTGCAGCTGGAAAGTGCTCTGTACTATTCAGCCTCATTCCCATCCGAACCCCCATGTCGCAGATGAAAGAAAGTGAAGCCTGTGTTGGGGCAGACCCCTGCCCAAGACCTCCCAGCAGGGCTGAGAGCTGAGATTCTGTCCCTCCAGTGTCTGTCTGTCTCACACACACGCTTCCCGGCCCACATTCTGTGCTTGCTGACGTGGATACGTTTTTCATACCCAGGGTGACGCACGCGTGCCTTGTCACACCCAGAGCCTCATGGAAGCTCACGCACAGGGCACTGACTGGGCTGCCTGCACACAGCTGTGGGCAGACATGCCCCCTTGACCCTTTAACATTCAGGAACACCATTGCAGACCCTCCCAGGACCCGTCCATGGACACTCACACTGGGTTCTCACACGCGGGCTTCACCCCTTCCTCTCAGGACACCCGGTCACTCCCTTCCAGCCTGAGCTGCCCACCTTGGCCTCCTCCCCTCTCTGCCCCGTGCTATTTCCAGGCTCCTGCCCCTCCACCTGCTGCCCACCTGCTCCGTTCAGGGCCATGGGAGGACTGGGCTGGCTTTTTTGTTGTTTGCCAAGGCTGCTGGGCTGTAGCCACTTGCTCGTGCAGGACGGGAATGCAGAAATAGGCCTTTTGAAAGCAAAAGATACAAAAGAGAGGAAGTTAGTCTCATTTCTGCTGTAGATTCTCGTCTGCCCCTCGTCCCCTTGACCCCCAGCCCGGTGGCGAGCAGGGTGGATGGAAACCCGAGGCTGCGTCGGTAGGAGTGAAGTGCCAAATTCAATATCACAATTGAGGATAAGTCACGATCAGACCACAGAGCTTTGTGAGCCCAGAGCCCCTGCTCTTGAGGGTCACACTTTCCTGCCTTTGGTGGAGTCAGAAGAGCAAGTGCAGGTGACCTGGATCCTCTTCACAGACCCACTAGGAATATGCCTGGTCACTTGAGGCCTCAGTTTCTCCATCTGTTAAATGGGGATCATAATTCCAACTCCGCAGTGCTGCTGTGGTCAAGAAGGAGCTTAGCGGTGCACATGCATTTAAAAGGAGGATACCTTCTGGGCGCCTGAGAGGCTGGTACCCTCTGGATCAGTAGCTCTGAACTGGTTTTGATAAACTCCTCCCTCTGAGCAGCTGCTAAAAGCTATGCATCCTTGCCCCAGAAAAAAATGCACATACCTACTCTCAGAGGCACAGGATGTCCTTCAGTGGGTACATGGCCCCTGCGGCTGCCCTCCCCATGTTGGAACCTAGTTAGGACCCCCCCAGTTAGGGGCGCCTGGGTGGCTCAGTCGGTTAAGCGGCTGCCTTCTGCTTGGGTCATGATCTCGGGGTCCTGGGATCGAACCCAAATCGGGCTCCCCACTCAGCGGGGAGTCTGCTTCTCCCTTTCCTTCTGTGCTCTCTCTCAAGTAAATAAATAAATCTTAAAAAAAAAAGGACCCCTAGTTAGAAGCTGGGATTTACACAAAAGCTTGGCACTGTGTTCCGAGAAGGAAGTTTAACAAATGTACCTTCTCTTGTTTTATAGATGTGGCTCTTAGGTCCTCAGCTCCTAGGGCAGAGCCCAGGTTCACGGGGCTGCGAAGCTGCCCTGCAGAGAGTTGCATGTGACCGCCCCGTCAGGGCTGACGTGAGGGCATCTAGCAGGACTCCCCCAGAGGGCGGGCAGGAAACAATCCCCTGGACCGCATGTTAAATGAAAATACAGATCCCCTGTGCCCCTGCCCAGAGGTTCTGGTTTGGTTAAGTCTGGATAAGGCCTTGGTATATGTATTTTTAAAATATCCCCAGGGGATTCCAGAGCAGCCCGTTTGATAACCATCGGTCTAAGATCTTTTTGGAATGGAATTTTTTACTTAGTTTTTTACTTAGAATTTGTTTCTTTAGTGGAGAAATTATATCCATCCCTCCTTCCCTGCCTCCCTCCCTCTACCCCTCCCTCCCTTCATCCCTCCATCCCTCCATCCCACATTAACTGAACTCTAGCTCTGGACCAAACACAGGCTAAATGCTGGTGAGTGAGGCAGGATCCAGCCCCTGCACTCAGGACCTTATAGCCCCTCTCCTTCCATGCCCCTGCTCTCGATGGAGCTCTCCAACTTTCCCAGAAGGGGCCACTTTAAACACTCTCCCCCAGGGCCTTTGGGAATTGTGGCCTCCAGCTGGGCAGGGACCTGAAGGTCTTTGGGTCCATCCCCCTGTCTGGGTAGGGTGGGCCCCTTTGAGAGACCAGTCGTGCCCTACCTTCTTCGGATGCCTGTTCCTATTCCTAACACCCTGACGTAAAAGCCACTCCCCTGTCTCATTCAATCTCCCTCACTGTGAATTCAATCCACTTCTTGTTTCTGCAAGTAACATTTATGGAGGCCCTAACTGGTAGCAGACATTGGATACTGGGGCACAGGGACGTGGAAAGGAAAGTTAAAGTCCTGGTCCTCAGGAACTCACCATCAGGTGGGAGGCACAAACAGGACGAGCAACCGAGCAAGAGTCACGGTGAGCTTGGGCTAGATGGGGAGGGGTGGAGTGCTCTGGGAGCACAGGTGAGGGAGTCCTTAACAGGGAGGCTTCTCTGGGAAGGAGACTCTGGTCTTGCTGCTTTCCTGGGGCGGGAGGGGTGGGGGAAGGACAGCAAGGGTGCACACCCCAGGGAAGGTCCACTGCTGCGTGAGACGATCCACTTGCCCAGGAATTCCAGTGCAAGTGGATAGTCTAGTGCTTTCTAGTGCTTTCCTACAAGGTCACATTTCCTGGTCTCATGCCCCCTTCTGGCTCCTTCTTCCTCATCCCTCTCCAGTTTTCCACTCGCTCCATTCATGCGGCTCAGAAACCAGAGACACCGTGCCCAGGGTGTGTACAGAGAGGGCGTACGGAGAGGAGCCAGCGTGCAGGCTTCCTGGGCTTGGACCGGCCCTTATGCTGAGGATAGGGCATCAAAGTTTGGAGGATGTGATGAGGTGTGGCCTTGTCAGGAACCTGGGTGTGGCAGGCTCCCTTGGTGGTGGTGGGGGGGTACGAAGACCTGAATTCTAGTCCCGGCCCTGCCTACAGCTAGCTATGTGAGCCATCTACACCGTCTACACCGGGGCTCAGAGTCTTCTGTTCCACTGCTGACGTGAGGAATCAGAATCCGCATTTTAACAAGACACGCTGGTGACTCATATGCACATTCGAATTGGGGAAACCTGCCCACAGACTTGCTTCTTGCCATTAGTCTGTGGTTGGGGTGCTAATGGCGGTAACTCTGGTCAGTGTCCGGCTGCTTAGGGGCCTCCCCTGGGATATGAAGGCGTTGCACCAGATGACTTTTGTGGTAGGGGTATGATATCATTCCCAGATCCGAGATTGAACCCTCACACTAGGTTTGTTGGGCCAGATACTCTGTTTACATTTTTTTTTTTTTTTAGAATAAGGTGCCAGTATTTAAAAATTGGGAAATGTCACATAAATATCTAGACTTCAGGCTTTTATTGAAAAATTGAACAATTTGGGAAACGGGCCACATTCCACCTGGCAATAATCAGTGTCCCCATGCAAAGCACTGGCACAACCCTCGCTCCAAATGTTTCCCAACCACTGATACTCTGCGGATCAAGTCCCAGGCGCCTCTTAGAACATGAAAAGTGGGGCGCCTGGGTGGCTCAGTCGGTTAAGCAGCTGCCTTCTGCTCAGGTCATGATGTCAGGGTCCTGGGATCAAGTCCTGCATCAGGCTCTCCGCTCAGTCAGCGGCAAGTCTGCTTCTCCCTCTCTCTCTGTGATCTCTCTCGCTTTCTCTCTCTCAAATAAATAAATAGAATCTTTAAAAAAATAAAATAAAACATGAAAAGATGCTCAGCCTCACTCAATATGAGAATTACAAATCAAACCTACACTGAGTCGCCATTTCCCACTTGTCTCATTAGCAAAGATAAGAAAGTTTGATAACACACTGTGGACAAGGGTGGAGGGAAATGGTCCCCTCACATACTAGGGAAAGTAAGTTGGTACGATCGCTAAAATGGATAATCTCCCATCATCCTTCACAATTACCAATAACACCTACCCTTTGACCAAATAATACCAGTTCTTGAAGTTGATCCACAGACACTTGCACACATGGGAAACGTTAATTCTAATGCACACATAGAAGGTTAGTCATTGCAGTGCTGTTTGTAAAATGCATGGAACTATGGATTGAACTAACCTAATTGCCTATTGATAGGGCACTGGCTAGGTAAATTATAGGACAGCCATATGATTAAGTAATGAGGATCTCTTTATGTTACAATATGGAAGGAGTATTTCCAAAATATTTATTGAAAAAGGAAGGGTGCAGAACAGGATGTGAGGTCCAAAACCCTTGTATGGCAGAGAGTATTTGTGAAAAGATGCTCAAGGACCTGGTAACATTGGCTGTCCCTGGGGACGGGACCTTGGAGACTGGGGTACAGGGGTGTGAGGGAGTCTTCTTATTATCTACTCTTCCATATCATTTGAACTTTGAGCCATGTTGATGTGTTACCTACTCAAAGAATGAAAACTACAATCTTTCAGAGACCTAGATTCTGTGATTCTGACACTACATGATTCTAATGTTTTACAACTCGGTGAGTCCAACTTATTACAACTCTGGAAGGCTCATCTCTTATGAGGCCAAGGCCCTCATAATCTGCTGGCAGGGGTTCTCCTGGGTCGCCATCCCTGCCCTGTCCCCGAGTCAGGCCATGCAGCCCCCGTGAGCTTGAGCAGCCCTGCAGGAGGGCTCCCTAGCCAACACGGTACAGATGCATGAATTTTGGCATGTCCTAGCGATGCATCGCTTGGGCCCTTGCTTACCTCCTTCACCTTCTCTGTCCTCCTAGGGGAGCCTTCTCAGTGGTGCGCAGGTGTGTGAAGGTGCTGGCTGGCCAGGAGTATGCTGCTAAGATCATCAACACCAAGAAGCTCTCGGCCAGAGGTAGGTGGCAGATCCATGCCTTACCCGCCCTCTGGGGCTCTTCTTCCCTCAGCGCCTTGGGTTAGAAGCCAGACCTGGGTCTGTCCCCCTGGGTGATGTTGCAGGGGGGAGATTCTTCTTCCTGTGGGTATTATGAGAACAGATCCCCCCATTTTCCTTCCCTAGGGGATCTAGACTGGAGGCCACAGCCTCTCAGACAGGTCAGGCTCTCTGCCTCCCACCCAGGTGAAGGCTAAGGTACCAGGTGGGACTTCCTTTCCCTACCCTTCTGTCACTTGCTTCCTTTCTCATCTCCAGACCTTGCAACCACCCTTCCTTTACCTGGCTCCTTACAAGGCTGGCCCTTTTTCAAACTTCAGGCCTCAGCTCAATGCCACATCCTTTGAGAGACTTCCCTGACCCCTACATCTGAGGGTGTCTCCCCCATTTTATATCTGTTGTTACTGTTTACCTTCTTTTCGGCTTTCCCCCAGTCTGCACTTACCCCATTTACTGGCTTGGTCCCTTATTAAGCATGCATCTTGACCATAAGCTCCAAGAGGACAGGGATGGCTTTCATTCCCTGCTATACCCAGTACCTGGGACAGCACCCAACACATCCCAGCGCTCCACCAGTGTCCAGTAAACTCCAGGTGCATTCTGCTTCAGCCACACCGGTCTGCTCTCTCAACCCTAAATATTCCCTAGAACAGTAGTTCCCAAACCTGTCCTCACCCTGGAACCCCTGGAGAGCCTCAAAAACTCCTGATGCCTGGGCCCTGCCTCCAGGGGTTGTGACTTTATTCATGTGGGGGTGTGACCTGGGTTTGGAAAAAAAAAAATCCCCAGGTAATTCTGGTTTGGAAGTGGTCCTAGACCAGCAGAGTCAACATCACCAGGAGATTGCTAGAAATGGACATTCTTGTTTCCAGACTTAAGGAATCAGGATCTGCATTTAAAAAAAAAGGATCTGCATTTTACCAAGATATCCCGGTGATCGTGTGGGTATTGGAACTTGGAAAGCCTGCCCAGGAGCCTTGCTTCTTGCCCTTAGCATGTGGTTAGAATGGTAGTGGTAGTAACCGTGGTCAGTGTGTTGGGGAAGGTTATCTTCAAAAATCCAATGCCTGCTCTGAATGCTGTCTAAGCTGCCCTGGGGACGTCCGGGTGAGGCGGGTACAGGTGCAGCATGGGAGATGTCATGGGGTGGTCAGGTGGTCAGGTGTTTACCTGGCATAGCGGCAGCTGTGTTGGGGCCAGGGCCCAGCAGGGGTGGGGTTCACGGAGGCTGGTACAGGATGTTCACATGGTCCCCCGAAGGCCTCCCTGCAGGCCCTGTGTTGGACCACGTGTTGCTGCCTTTCATCTCTCTGGCTCAGTGCTGCTGGGAGCCCAGCACCTTCTCCCAGTTACTGAACTCCCCCGTAGGCAGCCAGTGTCCTGCGGTGAGAAGAGGCTGGGCGTGTGGAGGGTGGTTCTCTGAGGGCCGGGGCCCAAGACGGCACACATTCAGCATGGAAGCTGGTGTGGAAGGACGACACCCGTGGAAAGTCTGGGGCCGGAGCCAGGGGAGGGGAGCCAGGGCGGCTGGGGCAGCCGCGTGTCCAGAGGGTGGGATCTGCCTTGCTTCCCGTGGCACGAGTGGCAATCCGGTGCCCTTTCTGTGCTTTGATCAAAGGAGATGTCCCAATCCCTGAGATACAGCGGGGGCAAGATTAGGGCCACAACTTGGTGACAGGTTGAGGTTGCTTCAAAATGAGGGAGGGTCAGGAGTCAGGATCCTCCCTGGATGCTGGAGCGCTTGGGTCAGTTCACTCAGAGCGACACCTCTCCCCGCCGTCTGGTTCTCGCTCTCTCTCTCTCTCTCTCCCTCCCTCCCTCCCTCTCTCTCTCTCTCTCTCTCTCTCACACACACACACACTCTGACAGGAAGAGACAGATGTGTATGAGGGACAATGGAAGGGGCACTGCCTCTTTTCTGGAAGGTAGTGACTAAGCATTCCTTGGGCAGTGTGGACTCTGGGCCGTGCCAGGACGAAATCAGCAAGTCCCCTGCTTTTGGCAATTTTTTGAGGCTTTGCCATCCTTACAGGAAGGTGGCCCGGGGCCTAGGTGAGTGTGGAGGGTGGGAGTGGGGAGGTTCTCAGGGGAGCCTTCTCAAACAAGTCTGCCAACTGCCAACTCTTCGGAAGAGCGGAGCTGCTTCTAGCAGGTTCCTTTGTTTTCCACCCATGGTGCCTGGGGAGAGGAGCAGTTTGATGCTGACTATTTGGCAACATATCCTAAACCGCTCCTGCTGGCACTCCCTGGGGACTTTGGCAGCTCTCAGCAGGGGCCTGGCCCACCCGGGGCGTCCATCCTCCCCGCCCCCCCCGCCCCAGCTGCAGCTCCCCCTTCCCCACCAGGGTCCGCCTCTTCTTCTGTTGAGTGGCTGCCCAACCCAGGAGATATTTTTTCCTATGTATTTTAAAGCTACTCATTTAAGATAAAATGCTCAAAGTGTCAACAATTTCAAGAAGTCATAAAGACATGGAATGGGAAGTGAAAATTTTGCCTGTCTCAGGCCCTGCCAGGTCCCCTCGGGGGCCTTTAAAAAAACGCGGCTGCCTTAGTTCTACCCTGGAGGGCTGGAGTCAGTAGGTGAGGCGCAAGCTCCTGCACTGAAAAACTCCCATCCACAGTGACGATAGCCAGTATGCTCAGGGATAACTCCCTGCCAGGGCCTCCGGAGGCTTCCCAGCCCCAGCCTCACCCAGCGCACAGAAGACACTCATTAGCATTTTAGGGGACGCTGGGCACATGGATGTGGCTGGTGCAGCCAGGGGTGACTGACAGGGGTACAGAGACCTCCACAGTAACCACTGTCCACCCAAGTGCTGAGGGCTCACTTCCTCAGCTCCCTGGCAACCAGTCCCAGGACATGGGGTGAGAAGCATGGTGTGAGCTCATTCAGGCTGCCCCTGAGCCTCAGGCCCATGCTGTGAAGGAGGCAGTGAGACAGATCCTTCCCGTTTTCCTCATCTTACTCCCCACTCCTGCCTGGCATTCTTGGCCCTTGGAATTATTCCTCTAACCTCCCAGGATCAGGAGCCCTGTTGAGGCCCTCTAGAGGGTGGGGGCATTTCCTCTTCCAAGACTTGGAAGCCTATTTTCTTCCCTGGTTCCTGTGCCTCTGGCAGGAGTCCCACCCCTACCCCCTACCCCTGCCCACTTTGCAGGCAGAGCCTTCCAGGCTGCCTGATTGTACTTCCCCCATGCTCTGCTCTGTCTTGCCCTGCCCTGCTGGCACTATCTGGCCCCAGGAACCTTACCCTGAACTTTACTTTCACTCGTCCCTGCCTGCCAAGCTCTTGGGCAGGGCAGGGGCCCTCAACCCCAACGCCCTGGAGGCCTGCCCCTAGGGAGGGAGGGAGAAGGTTCACAAGGTATCATAGTGAGCATTAGGGGGCAATCCTTCCAGGTACCTGGACAGGAGGCTTCCCTCAGGCCTTTCACCATGTGGGACTGTATCAAGCTGAAAGGATTGATTTAGCAATTAATTGTTTATAAGAATGGGAGGCAATGTAGTATAGTAATTTTGAACATGGGTTGAAATCCCAGCTCTGCCATTTCTTAGCTATGGAACCTTGGACAAGCTGCTTAGTGACTCTGGGCCCCTTAGTGACTCTGGGGCATGGCCATGACTGACAGACAAGGTCTTGCTCTCATTGCACCTGTTCTCTAGGAACAGAGAACAGAGAACTTCCTCTCTGAGGAAGACTGGAAAGAACATTAAACATACAAATAAGCTTTAGGTAAACTTTAGGTAGCAACGAGTTATAAAGAAAATGAGACAGGATAGTGGGGAAGTGATGGGGGTCAGGAGGGACCCTCAGGAAAGGCAGCCAGGGAAGCTCTCTGAGGAGGTGATACTGTGTTGGACCTGCCTGAGGAGGAGGAGGCAGCCATGAGAAGACCCAGGGGAAGAGCATTCTAGGCAAAAGGCCCAGCAAGTGCAAAGGCCCTGAGGTGGGAAGGCGCATGGAATGCCTGAGGCCAGAAAGGCGGCCACTGTGGCTGAAGCTCCAAGGCCAAGGTGAGGCAGGACCAGTGGTGTCTGGATGGCCGTGGTGAGGAGTTTGGATTGCAAGTACAATGCAGAGTTTGAAGAGTTGTTGGAGAGTTTGAAGCCAGGGAGAGACAGCATCTAATTCATGTTTTAATAAGAGGTCCTTGGCTGAAAAAGATGATTGGCTGGAGTGGGGAGAACATCCAGGAGTGGTTCCTCAGAGCTGTGGGTTCTAAGGAGGCTTGACTACCTTATTAAGTGACTTGGATAACGGGACTGCTCCTTATCACCGGGCCTCAGTTTCCTTACCTACAGAACAGAGCAAGGCCTCAGAGGTCAAGAGAAACACAATCCCTACTTTCTCTGAGGAATGTTAGAAAATAAAAACATGTCAGAGTTACAAAAACTGTTGAATAACATATATGTTTACGTAAATTCGACAAATTAATGCTTTTAGCCCAGAAATTTGCAATGCGGTGTGGTTGGACTTTGCACAAGATGATAGCCAGATTTATAAAAACAGTCAGCTCCTGGCATTTCTGGCTGTGAGGGCTGGACATCAGGTCCAAGTGTGAGGCTGTGTGACCTGCCTGTCCTTTCAGTGCTGCTCACGTGGTGGAGAAACATCAGAATTCTGCATTTGGGTCCCTCGTCCCCTGAATGTATAGGCTGGACCAGCCTTGTCCTCTGAATGTATAGCCTCCAGCCCCCTCTGATAGGCCCCACTTGACCAGCCTGCTCTCTGGTTCTTCTGCTGGGGATGGGTGGGGTGGGGGACAGGGTTGTAGGGCTAGGGGAGCGTTCAGCCGTCCTCAGTCCACTGAGGGCCCTCAGCAGCTCTGGATGCAGATGCCCCTCCTTTGTGTGGGAATTGGCCTCCTGCTATCCTGGAGGATGTGGAAGGAGGATGTGCCAGGGGGAATGTCCCCCAGTGTAGACAACCTCCCCTCCCCTAGCCCGTAGTCCACCTTCTGCTGGGGAGTTGAGCTTACCCTCTGTGGAAACAGGAGTGGACTCAATTGCTTTGCTGACGAAAAGGCCCCATTTCAGTATTGTTCTTGGCTTCTGCAGCCCCTGGAGGAAG